TCGCCATGGCTCGTTAATTAGCCCGCTTGTGCCATTAAATTTTATGTAGGTACACAGTTTTCTCGTATTTCAAATAATTTACGAAATAACGGATTTTATAGTGTTCGCGCGGACACCATGTATATGCCTCGGGAGCGTAACGGCCGCTTATGCGAACTGTTTACACGTATGAATACGCGTTCGATATCGACTTTAATGCACCCGAATGAACGTGAAAGATGTTTTGCGCGGGCAGGAAGCGGCGATGGAAAAGGGAAAGGATTCCCTGGCGGAGAGTAGCAGCAATCGTGAAATAGTGTCGGAGGAAAAGGCAGATCGGCCTGAAATCGGCCAGAGCCCCGAGTCTCGTGATACAGTTTCTTCGGCAATTATCTCTCTATCAGCGCCCGATCCACGTGATACAGTGATTGATCGGTTAGGCGTCATGATATCGCTTATGTAACGGTTCAGAAATATGGTACAGATGATTGGCCAAATCTCGTGGCCAACTTCCTCGAGGAGAATCTCGGGTTTTCGTGAACGTTTTATACAAAATTAGAAAGTTGTCAGACAGGAAGACAGTTTGTGTAACGGGATGTGGCTAAATAGATGTAAATAATGGGAATGAAGAATAAGTAGAATAGATTCTTTGTAAAAAATCTATACGATGTACCCATATATATTTTACCGAAAAATCTACAGTCGTAGTAATGGTACTTCGAATCGCTCTTAGGTATCACGTTCACGTCAGTTCGCGAAATAGTCTTATACAGGGAGTCACCAAAATCGACCCTATAAAAAAAAAATAAGTCGAGAAAAAGGAATAAACTTTTTTCGTTTGAAGAGTTGCGTTTTCAAAAAAAGTACTTTTAAGACTGATCTAAAACACGTGTATTCGTATAGTACTAAGTAGAAACGGAATGCAATGCACAGACATATTAGTCCAGTAATATTCAATTGCACTCGAATCCAGCAGATTTTCAAATTCGATTATCTCAATAACGAAACCTTAAATGAGAAATATATTATTCCGTATTTTTCCACTTATTTTTGCATCTAGAATCACCACCTTAATGATTGTACCACGATTTTGGGGACACCCTGTATATTTGCGTATCCATTTCGAAGTACAATTTGTCATTGAAATTTCAATTGCATACATCTCTTTCACTCTTACGGCATTTCGATATTACTTGTCACTCAGATTCATTATTACGTTGCATAATAACGAAGAATAAATTGTTAATATTTTGGGTGGGTGACAGTGATGGGTGTCAAAAAGTCGATTGCCCAACCAGTTGCGGACAATCACGGTTACAAATGGTTTCCCGCTAAATCGACGTGGCTTCGATCCGATATCGTCGATCTCAGGTGTATATCTGATCTCCCTTTGGAGAATGTGTCTGTCTGTGTCTGTGTGTGTGTGTCTGTCGGCCGACCGACCCTGATCGCAGCTGGTCGAACAGCCGCATTCTGGCTCGTGCGCGCGCGCGAGGATCGACTTTCGCTAAGTCACATGACGCTAAGTCACATGCGTTCTGCGCAATCTTGCATCTCGATGCACCCGTGTGAGAGAGAGATATCCCGTATTCCACGGGAGAATCGTGTTTTCCCTGACATATCGTACAGGTGCAAAACATCGACGGTGCGCTGGCGCGTACGCCATGTAGAAGAGGTCGTAGGCACGGCAAGGTAAACGATCTTTCATTTTTTTTTTCTTCGGTGGTTCCCTTTTACAGCCGAAGAAAAATAAGGTGGTTCCTGGAAATATTATGCTAGCGCCCTTATAGATCTTCCTTTTTTTCTTTCTTCGGGGAATTCCTGGTGGCTAAGTGGCCAACAATTTTAAAAAGGAAAGAAAATGAAAACAACAAATTAGTAACTGTTTCGTTTGTAATTAGCAAATGTTTTCGTTTCACTGATTATTACGTCATGGGTAGTTCGTAGTATGTATTTATTATACATTATAATATACAGAATTTCTGTCATCTCACGGAGGCGGTGCTTTTTGTAATTGATTCGATGTTGAGTTTTAATTGGGCAGTTTCGGCTACAGTCACTCGATAGCGACCGGCCGAATTAACCGTGTAATTTGTGGGTGCACGGGTGGCGATCGGCGTATTAAGGTGCCTTATCTTGCGTAACTTGAATAAAACAATTACTAGACGGTCTTGGTATTTCGGTGGACGGCCGTGTTTTTAAGAGAACATGAAATTTTAATTGAAATGGCCCCGGAGTGGTGAATTTCCTTATAAAATGTACGGTTCTTTCGACACCCACTTGGGAAAACTGTTTCGATGATTCAGTAGCCACATTACTTCAAAACTCTTCATTTCACAGTTCTCCGTTTCACTGATAGTATCAACGGAAGTAATTGCGTATCTTTAGTTACCGAAAATAATAAATACGAGCAAAAAAGTACAACAAAAACTATTCTTTTAATAAAATATACAGGGTGTCATGTAACTGGGGATACAACCGAGTAGGGTATGATTCCACGTGAAAGAGTTAGTCGAAAATATGGAATAAAATTTTTTCATTTGAGACTGTTTTCGAGAGGTTTGAGTTTGAAAATCTGCTGGGTACGCGTGCAATTGAATATGACTTGGCTGGTGCGTCTGTTCATTACATTCTGTTTCCACTGACTACCATATGACGAATACACGCATTTCAGATTAGTTTTCAAAGACGATTTTTTTTTAAAACGAAGTCTTAACTTACTTATAACATTTAAGAAGTATTAGTATAACATTCATGAACATTGCAATTGTAAAATTTGGAAGCAAATACATCGAAAATCATTCAAACAAAGGGTTAACGATTTTAAAATGTCTGAAGTGAAACGCATTGCAAAACAACATTTATAATGCATCAACCTGATAATTACAGCTCTAAGTCGAAAGATCAAACACATACCGAGGACCGATAAATTTTCGTTTTTTTTTCACCATGAGTGGTTTGTCGAGTTTGTCCAGATCATTCGAGTCCCGTTTCATTTCACTCACGATACCATCGGGATTGTCTCTCTCGATGCTGTCTCCATCCCGACGACTCTCGAAAAGACGCGAAAAAGGGAGCGTCATAGTAATCAGGGCGTCGATCGACAACAATCTAACCTCCGGAAAGTAAATCTCCGGTGGTAGCTGAGAAGCTGGGAGGCAGAAACGATCGCGTGTACACGCTCTCTAAACGAGAGCGATAGCTCGACGGCTTCGAAACGAGTACGATAGGCTTCGAAACGAGAGAACGAACAAGGGAGAGAGAGAGAGAGAGAGAGAGCATACGAGAGATGTAGAGGAGTGAGAAGGAAGTTTTAGTACACGTACTGGTTGCGTATTCTGACCTAGTTTTCTTCCGAACTGAGTAGTCACCGGTCCCGAGTTTCCCAGGGCGGTTTGATTGACTGGAAAGTAATTTTCCTGTTCACGTGCGTCTATGTTCCTCCTTCTTATTTATTAGTTAGCGATTAAGAAAGTGTGACTTGCAGCGTTCGACTCATCAATCTCTGGAGTGTGTTGTTCGTGTCTTTTATCACGTGATTGCCACAGTGAAAAAGGCCGTATGTAGTCAGACATTCTTTATTTCGTTTTTTTTAAGGGGTTGCATACCTTTAAGCTGTTAAATAAGAGGGAAAATTAACAATTTTTTTTGTATGTACAGAATTATTGGTTTTTATTATTTCCTTGGTAATTTCGGAAAAATTGAGCTACATATACATATATCTATCGACAGAAGAAAATGGCTGTCATTTAAAAGTGTGTTTCCCTCGAAATGGAGTTTTCAAAATTGGTACCAGAAATATTTAAACCTAACCCAGAACCAATTTAGATTAAACCTTCTGGTAATATTCTTAAGACTAACGTGTAGTAATTGAGGAGGCGAATTTTTTAGTGCTAAGTGCATCTGTCTACTACAATAGACGCCTACTTTATCACTGGTAACAGTACCTCAAATATTTCTTGCCGATTGGCAGTACCAAACTATTTGTGTTATTATGACTACTAGTTCGTTATTTATCATGAACAAACACATTGTTTAAAATATATATATATATTAAAAAATATTTTAAATAGTTTGAAAATGGCTATTGGTTCTTGATTTTATGAAAAAACAATTTTGTACAAGATACTAGAAAGATGCAGTAAGCGGGTTAGAATCAGAACTTAGAAATTTTTCCTTCTTTTGCAATAATCAGATATGCTATATATTTTTAATATATGCAATCTAGCTACGATAATACTTGCAGTGTATAGATCAGAGAAAAGTTATGCTAGCGTCGATTAAATAAAAATTCAATCGTTATTACAGAATGTTATTCCGCGATATGATTTTCTAAAGAAGCAACAAACCTGTTGAATCAAATACTTTGACCAGAGAATCGAGTTTATGACCAGGACGTGGCGGAACTTTCATTCTTTTGCATACTTCGCCGCGTGATTCACAGCAGGCCAGTCTAGCCTGTATATCCTGCATCGCTGTATCCTGTTTATGTCCATTGTTCGATGTCCTGTTAGCGGTTGGCCAGTTAACCGATCGTTCGATCATAATTTTAGCCTTCGAGAATCATATTGTTTCGTGTTTCTCTTTTTTCCATAGTCGTTTCTTGGACGAAATTTGAGAAACCTAAAAAATGGTTCAGATTCCTAAAATGGTTCAGAATTCCTTGAAAACTTTTTTACTTAAATTGTTTTTCGTGAATAAATATTGTATAATATTTTGAGTACACGGTTGTTATGTGTAAAATGTAAAATGTGAAATCAAAAATTAAGTATATGATCGTTAATTTCTTTCTCTTCCTAAAAATGAAATAAACAAAATAAAGTAGAAAGCGTATCTACTCACAAATTGTTGCGTTTGTATTTTCTGTTTGACGTAGTAGCATACAGGGATTTCCCTGTATCACCACGGTATAATTCAACCATTACCTTCGACGGCATTTAAATTCTACAATATACGACTTCCCCGGTTTAAATTTAGATCGACTAGACGTTCCATCCAGATAATAATGGGGCCGGTCATTTCTATTCTCCCACGCAGACAGCTTCAAAACTTGCGTGCATTCTGATCGCAGAGTTTGTTTTATTGCAGATTGCTTTCCCATGGCCATAAGGTGATATATCGAGTTGTCGTACGGATTCTTGCAGATTTCTGGTTAACAGAACACGAAAAACCGTTTAGAACTAAAATACTGTATTTTATATTGAAGCAGAGTTTTACTAATTAAAAACTGTACAATACTTAGAAAATTAAAGTAAAGTAGGAACTTGGGAGATTGAATGTGATTAAGTAGAATATTTCAAAAACAAAGAGGAGTAGAAAAAGAATAATAAAACTTAAGGGTCCTTAATTTTTTTTTAAATAGTAACATGATATAAAAAGTAAACTGTTATTCAAAAATATTATTATAAATAATTATCCATAAAAGATTTTACAATTAGTTGTATTGATTCACAATGCAAAGATTCAAAGTCGATCTACGCAGAACCAAAAAACTTGTATTAGATTAATCCAAAACTGGGGGGGTTTGAGTCAAAATCAACCGAAAGCACGTTCATATCTGCCTAGAGTTAAAAGGTATAAGTCAAGCTAAGCCAAGATAGAAAGATCCCAACCAGAGATCTTGAACTGCTGGACTCCCTATATAATTACAGTGTCTGGGATTGATTTGACTTATGTTCTGAGATATTGAGTAGACACAGCTTGGACCTGTCGACAATTGATTGGTTCGATGTGAGTTTTTTGACTCAGATTTGGTTTGACTTTGATCTAACGACCATGAGTTAATTTGAAGGAAATCTTAAGAATCCAGATAGATCGTACTAGATTGCACTGATTTGAGTCTTGATGATACACTAGATTTCTCTGACTGGAGTCTTTTGACTCTGGTTTAAATCGACTTTCTTTGCCGTGAGATGATCCAATTCGACTTTCTACAATCTAGTATGACCTAATTCGAGTGCTTTCGACCCTGAAGTGATACAATTCGAATGCCTTCTTTCTAAATAGAAGCACTTCAAGTCTTTTGAATCTAGCTAAACTTGATTTCACCTTCTTGATTCCATGATAGTCCTAGAATCTGGTTCACAATTTGAAAAATTAGAAAAAACACACTTTACACCATATTTAACCAAATATGTTTAAACAATTGTAAGTCTTACTCACATACACACATGGTATTGATGTTATGCACAAGAATACGCAAGAATCTCTGCAACAGGTCGACGCGCACAAAAGGAGTCACGTTGAAGGAGAAAAGGGTGTTCGATCCACGATTTATTGGCGTTTCAGCTTCGGCGTTCGTTGTAATTAACCACGGGTACCTTTTACGGTATTAATCCTCGTTTGATGTAATTCGACCAACAGCTCATTGTGCCCGCGTATGCAGAAAGTGAGAGGACATACGCTTCTTGTAATAGGTTGCCCGATATTACTTTCACAACGGGAGCAAGGCCTTATTTTTTCGAGCGGATGCGACGTTTGTTTACTTTCATAGTTTCGGTGAAGCATACAGCCCCATTGTTGCTGGGGATAAATATCACTTCTTAATAATTCGAAGTTGACTATAATCGTGGAACGTGGAAGTTTTCGCTACTAATATAATTAGTCTCCGAATGTTTTTGCAAATACAGATATTCATGGACTGATGTACATAAACTATAATCGAGCTAAAATGTAATCAGTCCATGAAAGACTTGTTTTTAAGTCTTCATTTATAAGTATCTGATGCAAAATATGTAATTCTTCGGTATATCAATCTTGTTTTAATTTGTACGAACTGTTCAAAAGAAAAAGCAAATAACCTGGTAAATATGTCAAAACATAAAAGAAATTTCAAAGTTACTTCATACCGATAGAAAGTGAATAGAATGGGAATCTTTATTATCCCGATGTGAATAACAGCATCGGTAACGCCATCCAACGTCCAGTATTGTGAAGCGCTACGATTCAGGGTATAATATCAACATTCGATATTTACCTATTTTAAAAAATACAATTTATTAAAATACACAAATTAAAAGAATTACACACTATATCGTATTAATTAACCATAAAATTCACATCATCATTAGATACGACTAATACAGCTTAGAGTGTAAAGGGTTAATGTTTGGATAATGTATTCTGTAATAATAAAATAATCAAAGTAGTAATACGGGAAGAGAAAATCGACAATACTGCGTAACTACGGCATCTTACGATACTGTAACAATCTTACAATCGGAATAGTAATGTAGGAAGAAAAAATTAGACTACATGGGGAAACTATCGTGTGTTAAGATTCTATTGTCTATGAAGTCCCTCCTGAAGTTCCCCCTCCCGAAATTCCCCCTCCCGAAGTTCCCCCTCTCGAAGTTCCCCCTCCCGAAGCTCCCCCTCCTGAAGCTCCCCCTCCTGGAGCTCCCGCTCCTGAAGCTCCCGCTCCTGAAGCTCCCCCTCCTGAAGCTCCCCCTCCTGAAGCTCCCCCTCCTGGGGCTGCTCCTGGACCCGACTGTGGACCCATTAGTGATGACGAATTTGTAATGTTTACATTAGTTGGTAGCGACGTTGTCGTAGTAAGATAAGGCAAATATAGTTCAGGACACTTTATAGCGCAGGCAAGATTTGTTATGTAGACCGAGTCAGCAGATTTGCAATAATCGGTACAATATTTCTTTCGTAACGGCTCAAGAAAACCAAAGCCAAATCTTGGGGAAGGATATCCATCTTGTTGTGGAAGCTGCACGAGAAAAAGAAAAATAATTACTTTCAATTTAGTTGGAGATAATTGTATTACACTAGATCCTCTCGTATCCGAACACCCTAATATTCATGCTGTACTATCTAAACGTGTTCTGTTATCCGAACAGAGTGTCTCCCAACAATGTATGCCTTTTCTTGTTGCAAATATCTGGTGTTTACACATAATGTATACTTTAAACGAACTGTCACTTTTCTTGACCTCTATTTAAATGATTGGGGTCAGTATTCGTAAAATGATTATGCTAATGTCTGTAAATTCTTTTATGCAAACGCTTATGTCTCCCTATTAATTCGGATACGAGAAACTCTAATTTATTTAGTATAAGGGGGGCTGATTTTTCGTGAAGTAGAAACGGTCAGTAATAGACAGACATATTAAGCATGTTGCCAAAATCAAAGGTGCGCAAACTCATTATCTAGATAAAGACTTTCGAACACCGAATAACAGTTAAAAAAACTACCTCGTCATTTTTAACCGTTTAAACGTGGAAATTCCAGTTTTTATAATAAAATAATGTTTCTTCTTCAATGAGTCGACATTTGGCAAACGATTATTTAATCTTATTAACTGTTTAAAGCTCAAAATGATGCCTTTGGATACTGTTGCTTTTCACTATATATTATTCGAATAAAATTCTACACAACTCTGTCCGAAACTCATGCGTGACTAATGTCTAAAATTGGTTTTCGCATAAACGAAGTACTGTACAAGAAAAATTTATTCTATATTTTCGACTTATTATCACACACAAAACTATTTATTTCTCGGTTGTATTATGACATAATAAACAGCCTCTCTGACACCGAAATATCATGAAAACTATGGCATATCTAACCTGTGACCAAACAGATCCGATCAATATCAGCGAAGCAATCCATGCGGTGAAGTACGACATGACGAACCACGTTCTAAGGAAACTCAGACGGTCTGCGACACGAGCAACATCGTCCAACGAATCACTAGCTTATATACACTGGTCTAAAGCTGTGATTTGTTAAAACATTCAAATACGACCTATTTCAACTGTTTGTCTTTTTTTTTTTATAGTAGAACGATTCTTTGAAGTCTGTTGTCATCCTTTGTGACCGATAACACATGCTCGTTATCGCGACGCATTGTGTCTTGAGAAAGAATACATTTTATGCTAAATATACGATAACGTGCTACTATTGCGGTCAAATAGAAAATGGCTAAAATAAAAAAATCATCGAAGTCCCTTCAACGACACATCTGTTTCTTTACTCTCTACGTCTGTTTCTACTTGGAAATTTTATCATATGAATCGTTCATAACCTTCGTCTAATGATCAAATTTCCGTACGTGACTGAAGAAAGAAAAAAAAATCGTGTCACTGGTCTGTATCGCGTGTGTCGTAATGTTAACGTCGCGGCAGAATCGAAATTTGCTGGGTTCGTACGATCTGAATCCGTGGTCACGCCGCCAATTATCATATCAAAGGCACAGGCTGTTTTCCGTGTTGAGCCTAATTATATGCAACCCAGTTCGCATCTGTGCACAGCTCTGGGATAGCTCGTCCATTGTCCCGCCTTAATTGAATCGTGTAAAGAAAATGGACGTTATTAATCCTCGAATCGTTGAACAAATATGTTGTTCGTTACACAATTTCATCGAATAACAACATGATCTATTATGTCATTAATCGTCCATTACACCAATGGAAGGTTGTAACAGCAATAATGTTGTTTGGGTGCCTTTATCAAATTTTTGTCTCGAAATTAAATGATCGTAAATGCGTTCAACATTGCAGAATCTCCTGAATGCCATTTTCGAAACGCGATTGAAGAAGAATGCTGTAATTTCTAAACATATTATTATTTATTGAATTATTTTTTCCGCAAAGTTTAGTGATAACAATTTCAAGATTAATCAAGACTTTTCAATGTATGCTCGCCTCGTTGAGTAGATTAATCATTTAGTTTGTGATTTTTCCGTCTGACGAATACTGACTTACACTACTTAGAAATTCAGGAGTGAAATTCAGCGATAACTCATTTAAAACTGCATAGAAAGCATTATTACAAAAGGCATAAGTACACTTATACTCCCTCTTCTTTCTCGAGTACAATATCTGACAGCTGATGAATACGTGTTAAGTCATTTTCCTGTGCACGTTTGGGAATTAGCGAAACGAAGATTGCGGCATGCATATAGGGCGTCAATTATATTTGAGTTGCGCCTATGACCTTTCACGCAGAACTGCTTAAAGTTACGTCAATGGTGTGCATTGTACGGGGGAGCTGACTGGTTGGAAGGCGATAGACACCACGTGATCGCGCTACCAATGACGCCGGGGAATACCAACGGGTCGATAACAATGAGACCGACAACATAGTCTCGGGAATATTCTGTTTGCGTGTTTGGTCCACCATTCTGCAACTGTATTTCTTCTGTCTTTCCACTCCGTGTATCATTATTGTCTCCCGTTACATCATCAGATTCTATAAAATTACATCCTCACTCTTCTTTTGCGCTGTTTAATTGCACCGGTAAGAAGTAAATTTAACAACTAACATAATACACGAAAACATACTTTTAATTCCTTTTAAATGGACATATTACTCTTCTCACTTCTCCGTTAATCAATTTTTTCATTTGGAACCAGGAAATGTATCGCGTTTACAAGTGGCATGCCTTCTTTATTGAATGAAATCGATAATGTTGTATCGACGTAAGGTTCATTTTCTTGAGACTATCTTTACATATACGTACGCTTCAATATTGTGTATATATTATTCTTATAAACTGTAATACTAAATAGTTCAGTGTTTGTTAGATAATACGCCTATAAACAATCATAGTAGCTGACTGTAGACAGTATCTACGTTAAATGAAAATTATGAATTCTTTAACATCGAGAATCTATGTGGGAGAATTACCTTCCGTGCGACTTCCTTATCAAACGTCGATAATACAGTACGTTCGTTGCATATTTATCACCTCATTAACAAATTGTTAATAAATGATCCCATGAAAGCCACATACACACGATAACCACCAATCTTCATCGTTCCGGAACAATTTACATTTATTCCGCCGTGAACGGGCTCCCTATAAATATTCACACACTAATCATCGGTGTCGCACAATTTTTCCAGCAATGAAAATTTCGAAAGCTGCTTCCAAAGTCGTACATGTGAAAACGCGTAGCGCGGTCGCGACAGATTCCCACTAATTAAATTCAGTTCTTGTCAACGACAGGAAAGATTGTCACTGCGGAAATTCCTGGACTCGGCAATTAGCTGTTTTGTGCTGTTCTCGAGCTGGACTCCTAGCGACCCAGGGGGGGGGGGACATTATTCGTGAAAGTAATTGAACTCGTTATGAAACTCGTCTTTCAAGAAAGTAATTTAACCGCGGCCGAAGTTTCCGTAATTCTCGATTGAATCTCTAATTGGGGGCCCCCATATGTCAATCGATCGTCCTTCAGTCACGCCACCGACTCGCAGTTCGAATCGCAGGAGGGAATGGGACAACAGATGGCCGCTGGTCCGACATTTAAGCTGAACTTTTCCATATTTGAACATCGAGTTCCCAACAAAATTTCCACTCCACGAATCCTCGTCACTGGCGACCCTAGGGAATTCCTGTTCTCTCTAGGTCCACTGCGCCAAGGATAAAATATCCTGGTGTCTACGCGCAGAATCCTGACGAAGGAACATTATCCGCAGTCGATAATGTGGGCAGGTACCAAAATGGTCGTGATTTCTTAAAATTTGTAATATATTTATACAATTTTTATGCGTTTCTCACAATTTCTTACGGTATCAAACAGTAATCGTTAAAATACCTAGTACCCTTTGGAAACCCCGTCATCAGGTTAAAAAGAGATAACCTGTCACAAGAATCTTGTCGCACCAACGAAGTCTACTTCTACTTAGTTGCTCCTTAGGTCAATAATTCCCTACAGTCTTTGTGTCTCCTAAAACCTTTCGATTCATACAAAACGATGATTACTAGAATATATTTAAAACCACAAAACTCTGTCGATAATCAAACACTCAGTGTCCCGAGTAAACCTGTCATCACCAATAAAGAGGTTAGGAACAAACAATCGCCTGGGACGTAGATCAGCCGGACGAAGTTAAACTTCACTAAATCATCCCGCGGATAAGGAACTCTCCTGAATCTTTGGTTGGCACGATGATGTCTCGAAGATCCCGCCCGCGATCGTAAATCCCCCGTTAACAGGCTCAGGCAGCCGGTGCCGCTTAATCCGCAGTAGCGGTAGCAGCAGCGTCTTGACATAGGTAACCGGTCGCTACAGTAGGTCCGAAGCAAAGAAATCTACTCGTTGGCTGATAACTAGACGATAGAGAGAAAGGGAGGAGCCGGTTAATTAGCCGCACGGTTAGATAACGCTCTTTATCTAGATCGTGCGGAACGATCAGGCAGTGCAGCAGCAGCAGCAGCAGCAGCAGCAGCGCAAACGTGCACCAGCCAGCCAGCCAGCAGCAGCAGCCAGTCGACACTCGGATTGGCGGAGTGCGCGGCTAGGTCGGAGGAGGCAAACGCGATCAGGAGAGAGCCGTGTGGACGCTACAGGAAGGGGTGAAGAGAAGGGGTTGGTGTAGCGCGGGGGTAGCAGGCGATGAGGAGGGGGAGGTGGCGGAGTTCTCGTTCTTTGCAGAGAACTCCACCGGTAGTCGCCTCCTTGACGTTCCTCTGGGGGGTTTCAAGCTCGCGCGTGGGAGTAGAAGCTGATAGTAGCGTGGGGTGCATATCGAAGGGAAGATGGGAGTGGGTGGAAGGAAGGAAGGGTGGGTGGGTGAGCCTGTAGGTAGGTAGGTAGGTAGGTAGATGGGTGGTTGGTCGGTCGGTCGTTTAAGTGGTTGGAGGAGAGAAGGACGTGGAGGGGAAGAGAGACAGACAGAGACAGGGGGTGGGAGGGAGAGAGACTGTGGTATGGTACGTGAGCAAGGAGCATGGAAAAGAGCGGTCGGGGAGGTTAGGGGCCGAGGGAGGAGTGGGGTTGCGTCGAGGCGTGGGTGAGCCGAAGCCGTCGGTTCCCGAGGGAGAAAAGGAAACGAACCAAGAAACGAAGAAAGACGCGCTCGTCCAGGGGCGGTGGGGGGGGGGGGGGAGAAAGAGGGAGGCTACAAAGTGGAATGGAAAAAGAAAGGAGACGAGAACCAGAGGGAGATAAATGAACGACACGGGGGCTAACAGAGGGGATCGAGGGTACCAGGAGTATAGTTTGAAGCGGTGAGACAGGAGTCGAGCGGTTGGAAGGTGAAGAGGGGAACGATGGTGGGAGTAAGAAAGGGAAACACGCCAGAGACGGAAGGTGAGAAACACGGGCAAGGATGAACGGAGACGGTGGAAGAGAGACAACAGGGGACAGTGATACGGTGTAAAGACAAATAGAGCGGGAATGCAATAAGGAGAGACGCAGTCCGCCGTGTATATATATACATACGTATCCTGAAGAAAGAGAAGGACAGGAGGAAGCGGGAAACGAGAGATGGGGGAGAGACAAAGAGGACGGATAATCGAGGGAGATAGCTCGTACAGATAGGCATACCAAGAGTGAACCAGACAGAAACGAACGGATTCGTGGAGGAAGGATGGTATATACACGAATGAGAGTATACCGTTCAGGGAACGATGAAGAGAGGAACCGAGGGGAGGGATAGAGCGAGAGAGTTATATCGCGGCAAAGGAGCGGGGGAGAGAGATAGGGTAAAGCAGCGAGTCGACTCGGATATGAGGGTGTCGCGCAAGCCGGTCACGCCGAGGTTTCCATGGCAACGACAGGCGATAAATCAACCCGCAACATCCCCGAGTACCGCCAGATAAAACCGCATACACATATGTGTCTACGTATGTACATATACGCGGGGGAAGATACCGACTGGTAACTCCGCGCCCAAAAAG